AATAGTAATAGTTTGAGGCCAGCCTGGTCTACAGAGCAAGATCCAGGACAGGCACAAAAACTACACAGAGAAACCCTGTCTCTAAAAAGCAAAAAACAAAATAATAATAATAATAATAATAATAATAATAATAATAATAATAATAATAATAATAAGTGAAGGCAAAACTCTTCAGAATCCAGGGTTAGGTTCTTAGGCATGATACTGATATCCAGACTTACTTTTAAAAATGGTGAGCTGGGTGGTAGCTGGGTTTGTTGAAGGACATCAGCTGTGAAATCTGTGATTTGGGCAGAGACTGAAGTCATGGCTGGTCCAGAAACTGATGGCCAGTTACAATTCACTGATATTAAAAAGTATTTCAACTCTTAGAGTCTCACAGGTAGGATGAATTGTGTGCCGGCCACTTACAGAGACACTGCTTTGTTGGTCTTATACTTCAAGTTAAGGCCTAAAAAACTCCAGCTGTGAAAGCAACATAAATGGACTTTGAAATGTCTGACTTCATGTTAAGTCCCATGCCTGAAGAAGCTGATGTCAATTCATCATGTAATACTCAGTTTGTACAATAAATTATGAAGCTGGAAAAAATGGTGAACTGGGGGACTTGAAGATATGGCTCAGTGGTTAAGAGCACATATTGCTCTTCCACAGGACCTGAGTTTGGATCCCAGTATCTATGTCAGGTGGCTCCCAACCACCTGTAACTTCAGCCTCAGGGGATCTGATGTCCTCTGGCCTCTACAGGCAGGTGCCACCATGTCTGGCTTTCTACTAAAATGAGATGCGCCAAGAGCAGTGGCTTTATTCTCAATGTGAGATGACTTTGAGAAGGTGAACTGCACCCAGAACAGCAGGATAGAAGGACAAGGAAATCATCTGGCATGAGAAGGAAAACCTCACAGCTGGCCTTCCTGTCACAGTCCTTTAGTCTCAGCACTTGGGAAGCAAGTGGATCTCTGTGAATGTGAAGCTAGCCTGGTGTACACAGGGTGTTCCAGGCCATCCATAGCTACATAGTGAAACCCTGTCTAAAAAAAATAATAACAAAACTAATGACTGAGAATCAAGAATTTCAGCATGATAAGTCACATATGCCATGAAAGCAGCCAACATAGGGTTAACACTTCTTTCAGATAAATACTGTATGTTAAAGTAGCAATAACCCAGGCTTGAGGCCTAACTGTGTGTGACC